TTCGATTTAGGGCTGGCTGCGTGCTGCCTGTCGCTTGTCTTGTTACTGTCGTTTATTGTTACTTTTTTTTGAATAACTGCGAAATTTATTATCCATTGCAAATCAGTAGCGGATTTTAATAACTTCAGAGTAACGATTATTAAAAATACGGCACAAAAAATAAGTTAAATGAAAACAAAAAAGATGTTAGTTTTGGTTTTGCAGAAGCTTAAATACGCTTTACACAGAAATTTGTAGTATATGAGGTCTACGTTGTTTACTTCAATGCGTTGCTAAAATCCTGACAAACTTTATATACCCTAGGCTATACTATCGATTTTAAGGATTTACATAAGCCTATTTAATGAAATTAAAACAAATACAGAGAAGGAAAATGTGTCATTGAGAAATGGACTGCGTCAAAGAGAAATATGGTAGGATTAGATAAACTGAGATCGAGTGAAGGATAAAGATACTCAAAAAAGAAAAAGCTGCTGAATGAGTGAAAATGATATCTACTGAGACTGAGTTAGGGATAAAGAGACTGAAAGAAAGAAAAATTTGCTAAATGAGAGAAAAAAAATGAGAGAGATATTTAGTGAGAAATAGAATGAGAATAAGTGAGAAAGAGGCTCCGTAAAATGTGGAAACTTGTTGAGGGAAATAGAGTGTGTGTGCGTATATAACCCTATGAGCACGGTTGCCACTTATGGTACTTTAGTACCAAAATTGGTACTTTTTTTTTCGTTTGGTACTCATGTTCAAAAAATGGTACATTTTTGACGACCCAACTTTATTGTGGATATTTCCAATTAATTTTTTTTTATAAATGCAACTTTGCACTATTTTATATTTTGTTCATTTATAACACTATGAAAAACACAGAACAAAAAAATTAAAAGGCCAAAAAAATTTTGGACCTTTTTTTACAGAAATGGTACCTTTTCAAACCAATTTTGGTACAGGAAAAAATTTTCAAGTAGCAACCGTGCCTATGAGTGAGAGGGTGTGCTTGTGTAAGACAGTGAGAAATAGAGATAAAGAGTGAAAGAGTAGTCGTGTTATCGTATAAAAACTTATAGGTTTAAAAATCACCTTAAACCGTTAGCAAAACGTTTGGATGCTGACAGGCTACTGCATATTAGAAAAGCACGCAAAAAGACTTGATTTACCCATTAACGATTTTTGTCGATATTTTGACTCTGACAATGAGGAGGAAATTCTACTCCAACTCATGTGCAAATCCCCTTTTTTATCGAGGAAAAGGCTTAAAATCTTTGAAGCCATTATTTTACTAAACTGACATTCATTTGAATTAGTATGTCTCTATTATAGAGTAGAGGAAAACTGGAGTATATGAAGAGCTTTTGTAACTGACAAATGTCTACCCTATATTGTGATGTATAGTAAACTATAGAGATCGAGAAGATATAAAACTTTAAAAAAATATTTGTGTACACTCGTGCACATGCCATATTTAGAGGGCAACACGCGGCTCATTAGTTCTATCGATTAAGAGAATTTTTAGCAAGAGAACTCTTGGTAAAAATGTCTTATCTGCAGTTTGTTGTATCGATTAAAAGAGCTCTTAGCAAGGGAACTCTTGGTAAAAATGTCTTAGCTAGATATAAAGAAAAATGCGAGAGCGAGATTGTAATGAACGCCAAGATCCAACCCTTTCTTTTTTTACTTCTGTGGAGTTATAAGTCGTGGTATATAATTTTCTTCACATAATAATAATAAAAACAAAAGGAATAGTAGTTCTTTATATTTTTGAAATGCCAATTGTTATCTTTGCTGTTTGGTTGACAATTTTATTTTGATTTCAATATTTTAACTAATTAAATGAAAAAAATATATACGACAGCGCCTTCATCTGAATTCGGCACTGTCTAATAATGCGTGGCTGATGTATGACTTTTTTTGGCGGGCTTTCCTTTATGTTTTCAAATGACTAAAAGTAACTTATTTTGTTAGAAAATTTGTTTACAATGATGGTCTTTGTAAGTTTTTTCCTTCTGTTGTTATTATTGTTGTTGCTGTCATTTAAAAAATCGCGCGTCCTTCAGTACATTCAGTACATTCAGAACTTTTTATATCGCAATGTAAAGTAATAAATTTCCGGTTGGTGTACGCTTTAGACTGTTTATCTTTCTTCTAGGGTTCTTCACATAGATTTGTTACATTGGATAGAAAATGTTTGCATATGTCGAATGTTGACAAATTTAAAATAATAAAATTAAAAGACATTTGTGGTAAAAATTGAAATGAACTCTGATAATATTAAGTCCTATTGAGGGAGTTAAAGGATATCGAACGACAAGGAGACACATTGAAATTTCATTGCAACTTAAGTGTTAAGAAAAATGTTTGTTAGTTCATATGGAGATGGGAAGAACTGAAAAATTTAAAGAATAATGTCATCGATAATTATGATAGTCACATTTTATGAAATATTAATCTTAGTTGTGCGGTAGAAAAAATTTGTTAAGAATTTAAAAATGTTCTCAATAAAGTACAGAGTTTCTTTTAATTACGGTATTCCACTATATAGGAAATATAGTATATAGGAAACTGTTTTTTTTTGTAACGGACATTCTGCGGCCTAAAACTTTGTTCGAAATAAATATGGATTTTCTAATAAAGCATTGAACTTTTTCTCGGTTCAATATTCTCTTTATTCACTATAAGAACTATTTATTGTTCTAACTGATCTAATGATTATTGTGCGGTTATAAACTTTTAAAGCTATCAACTAAAGTATCGAACTATTCTTTTTTTCGTGACAGTCCAATTATTCAGTAAAAAACCCAATTATTTTTCAACTGAAGTTTGATAAACTATTGTGTGAACAGTTATATTTATTAGGAGTTCGAAAGTTTTCAATTAAGGATAGAACATTCATAGATATGAAATATCGAGCTTTTGTAGATATGACGTTTTATTTATTTATAAGTGTGGTATTTCTTTAGATATACAGTTCCATTATATATAAGTATGAAATTTCTTTAAAGCCTTCTCTCCTTCTTTCTTTAAATAAACTACTATTTATTTAGCAGAAAAATCTTTTATTTTATGTGAAATAGTGTTTATTCTATATGAAGTTGTACTTCGAGTTTACAGTGATTTGTCAAATAATCTCTCAGATTCTGTAGCTTCTTTCTACGGATATATAAAAAACTAAATTGGATTGATAGTGTTAATCGAATATGTGTTTTCCATCGTATGATATCTTACAGTTAACGAAAAGTTTTAGTTAACATTTTTTTATATATGCTACTTATATATGCTTGACATTTTATTATTTTTAAAGTATCGTACCAAGAAAAAACACGCAGATATATATACATATTTGGATACATATAGTTATTTGGATATATATAGATATTTATAAATATTCAAAGATATTTATAGAGATGCAACTAGGATCGTTACGCCATTAATGATGATGATAGATATTTATAGATGTTTATAGATATTTAAATATATTTATAGTCATTTATAGATATTCATAGATATTTATAGATAATTATAGACAATTAAACAGAGGTACTAACAAATGTTAGCAAAAATGTCAGCTGGTTTGACATTATTCTGATATGTCGAAAACTTCATGATAAAAAATCGGTACAAATTTTATCGCAATAGAAGCAAGAGATCAGGTTACTCATTCTTTACTAATTTTGGCATAGCTTTAAGCCTTTGAAAATATTTAATGAGTGCCAAATAGCATACGAGTATGGAGAGAATGTCCATAACTTGTGATTGTCTTGAAATTATTTAGGAGATTCCAGACTGGATATTTTTTTGTGGAGGGTGAATTTCTTGAAGATAAGATGTTTGACTGACGATATGTTACTCTGTCCGAAACTGATGCATATTCAGAATTTACTCAGAATATTATTGCTGATGAACTGTGATAAGACTATATTACGAATATTAAGCAAACATCTTGGATTTATCAAGAAATCAGCGCGATGGGCTCTTTGAATTTTTACTGAAGCTCAAAAACATGCACTTGTTAGATTTCTATAATATTTACTCCAACCAGTTTGAAAATGGAAGATTCAGCAAACTTTTAACACGTGAGGAAGTTTGGTTCTACAAATATGATTTAAAAACAAGTACGATGGAATTCCGAAGGTGCTGATCAACCCATTAGGGCCAGGTAACAGAAGTAATGATATCAATTTATTTCATAGAGAAAAAGTTGTTGCTGGTATTAGTATGTAGTCTGAATAAACCGTATTTGCAAATGGATATACTAACACCTGCAGTCGAAAATTTGTAGACAAACCTGCAGTACGATAACATGACAACTTACACTGCTAAAAAAAAAGAACAATTGTATTGAGCTCTCAGGAATTAAAGTAGAAATTCGTCCAATACCATATTCTCCAGATATAGAGCCGGTTGATTTGGGATTGTTTCTAAATATAAAAAAAAATTTGAGAATGGGTCTTTGGTAATAATGTGGAGGTAATTAGTACAGTTTATTCTAAGTTGGTGACTCAAAAAAGGCCGTCTTTGAGAATTCCTACAGTATAGTAATGAGGCTTTAAAAATGTACAATAATGATGAAGATTATAGTCATAAAATTAAAACTACTGCCAACTCTTTTTGTATTTTTATTAGTCGACTTATGTATATATATAGTATATATGTATATATATTGATTATTATAAATATCAACTTTAATAATAAATTTGATAATAAGGATAATAAGGTGTTACTATATGAAATGAAATTAATTATTCTTCTTGGTTTTTGTTATTTTATTAGTCTCATCGGTTATCTGTTTATCTTTATGTTTTTAATCAATTTTAATAATAAATTCGATATACAATATGGTGTTACCATATTACCATAGTCTTTTCTGTGCTTTTGTTAGTCCCCTCGTACATGTTACCTTCTGTTACCTGTTATAATTTTATTTTTTAATAATCAATTTTAATAGTTTTATATATTTAACAATTAATGTAGTGTTACTATATTTATTAAAATTTTTTTATTTATTAAAGAACCGAAACCGAATAAAAAAAACGCCCCAACAAGTAACAATGCAAATGCAACAAGTACAACAGTTGCAAAATTTTCAAATACAACGACAGGAGCAGCAAGGACAAAAACTACTACTACAACATTTGAATCAATGCAACAGCAGCAACATCAGCAACAACAACATCAACATCAGCAACAAATCCAATTGCAGCAACCACAACAACAGCAACAGTTAACTAACAACATAATATTGTTACGTGGCTCACGCAATGAAAATGGGCAAATAGTTATACAAAATAAGCATGACATTATAAGTTTTTTAAATGAGCAACAACAGCAACAACAACAACAGCAACAATTGCAGCAACAAAGAAATGAGAAAGCAGCTGTCGCTACGTTAACCCAGTTACCAACAACAACAACTGTTGCACGTAAATCGATACATCAAGCAACAACATCGACACCAAGTATTTCTCTTGTACAAAATGTCAACAAAGAAGCAAATTCAAATACAATTGTGGGCAGCATTGGTACTAGTGGGTCAAATACCATACTTCTACAGACACCCATAAATGCTAGTCAATTGGAAACGGTGCTCTTGCAGACGGCACATTTAAAGAAATCAACATCCGCAACAATAACACCAACAACCGTGACGTCAGCCGCAAATGAGCGTCCATTTCTTATTAAAAGTGTAAGTGTTAAGGAGTTATTTTATATTTAATTAATATTATATATTGATCTCTTATATATGATAGAATATAGGGTCTTTCAAATTCATTATCATTCATTTTTCATAAGAAAAAAAATTAGCTAAAAAATCGTAAAGCTTCTATTATTAATTGATATTTTTATTATATTTTTTTTTATTTAGTCTTCGCGCAGTCTAAGTACTGACAGTAATCGCCAAAGCCATGGCGATAGTAAAGGACCTTTTGTGCTACAAACACTTAAACGTTTAGAGAAATCACAATCTATTTTGGTTATACGTAATTCTTCCTCAAGTTCAAACTCTTCAACCTCGTTTACGTCGTCCAATACCGCAAACACCTCATTTACTTCAAATGTAAGAACTGCAAGAAAATCTACATCACCTCCAACTCTATCATCAACTACAGCTACATTGTCACAATCATCTCTAGCGTCAACATCATCGTCAACATCGTCGTCGTCATCTTCATCTTCTTTATCTTCCTTGTCGACAACACCGACGACAGCAAGTGTCAGCACAAATACACAAACGGGCGCCTTAACTTTCACACGTGCTGTTAAGGGTGGTCAACAGACAACGAAATTGAGCAACATCATTGCTGGCAATCGTGCAACATTGGCTGCAGTCGCTTCCGCTACACAATCACAGACAACATCACAATCACAATTGCAATCTTATGCGCCTTCATCTCTTACGAATGTAATAACAAAATCGCTTACTTCTTCATCTTCTGCTGCAGCAACACCAGCAACAGCTACAGCAATTGCAACACCAGCAACAACAACATTTCTACGCTTAGGCAATGCAACAACAGCTACATTATTTACGAACAATAAAAATGTAAACAACAACAAAAACCATAATTCTAATGTTGTTGCTGGCGCTGTAAGCAATAACTTTATTAGTAATAGCAATAGCAATGGTAACAATATTAACAACAACAACAGCAGCAATGCCAGAAATACCAACAATAATAATGGCAATGGTAAACAAAATATTCTCAATGGAGTCACAGAAACTCAATTGAGTTTGGCTGATATCCAGCAAAAGCATGAACGTCCAACGTCAATAGTTACAACAATTCCATCAACAACATCATCAACAATGCCAGCAATAGCAACAACTTCCTCAAATCAACATGCCGGTAATATGCAAGTCCAACAACAGCAAATTAATGTACCCCTAGGGAACGGTAAGTTTAAAGCAAAAATATTTCGTTTCTATCTGCTCTATTGTTTGTAGATTTTTTTTATTCTTATTGGGTTCCGAATTTAGGATTTTTTCTAGTTGGAATTTGCAGTTTGACTGAAACTCCAACTAGAACGCATAGGTGAATGCATGTGAATATTTTCAGGTGCAACTTATTTTAGCAGTAAATATGGCAGATACCTGCTGTACTCGGGGAATTCAATGTCGGTTATTTGTTGATACCTGTGAGCTGATTTATGGAAGCTCCTAAAAATTTACTGAATAAAAGAATTTCTGTAAAAATTTTATTCATGCCATGTAACCGATGTGTTGTGAATCAGATTGACTTAAAGATAAAATATGTGCTAAATAAATGAATGGGTTGTCAGGTTTCGAATATATTGGGTTTAAGTCCACGGTCAAGAATTTCGTTCCGTAAGCAGGTTTATATGATTTTTATGAAATTAATGGTAGTAATAATTTCTTCATTAAATAATTCTACAGTGACACCGTAGTTAGATCTAAGCTTCTCTAGTACAATTCTTTCTAAAATGGTCGCCAGTCAAACTTTAAAAATTTATAAATTAAACACTGACTATATATTTTATCTAAGTATTGTATATGTTTTAAGTAAAGTATTAAATCTTGCAAGTTATTGTCAATGCAATATTTTAGGTCTTATCAAGTAGATAGTTCATAAGATGTGTAAGTGCGAAGAGGGGACAAATGTTGCGAAGTGAGAGATCGAATAAACCATAGTAAATAAAACGAAAGTTTGTGTGAAGAAGTTGAGTCTTTCGACTCGTATATGTAAAATGGAAAATGGCATGAATTGCCGTTATAATCAATTAGTATACTTATCATTATATCCCCTAACGATTTCGTTTTCCCAAAAGTCTTTATTATTTTATAAGCTAAGTACTAGTTTTACCGTCAGTGCGCCATTTTCCAACTTAAAAAAACAAGTGAAGTAAATGTGTCTTGTGTCACGTCACTGTTGATAATTATAAGTTCGAAGTTGTGAAAGACTTTGTTTATTTGGGTACCAGCGTAAACACCAAAAATGACGTCAGCCTAGAGATTCAACGAAGAATTACTCTTGTTAACAGATGTTACTGCGCGTTAAGTAAGCAATTGAGAAATGAAGCCTTCTCTTGACAAACAAAAATCACGCTCTACAAGTCTCATTATACCTGGATTAATAGCAATAGTGATAAGAGGACGTTAGGAGCATTCTAGAAAAAATTATTCTGAAGATTATGGCTTCCAAGCCTTGGTGAAGATAAAGTTCCATGATAGAGTTTTTAAGGTGTGGGTTAATGAAAGATAAATCCGATGAGAAGCAACACACCCAGTTGTAACATTTCCTACTTTAACTTATTGATTTTAACAATAGTTTTTTAAGTTATTATATTTGAACCATTAGCGAATAGATGGCGCTCCGCGAACATACTGTGTAATCTATTATTTGTGATCTATTTTATGCTTGTAGCATTAACATTAATTAGTTTATAATAACTAAGATAACTAAGAATAAATATAATAATAACTAAGAAATTGGTTATTTTGAGTGAAGGTCATAAATACAATATGATGATTTTAAAACTATCCAGATTTTTGAAGTTAATGAAAGAGGGTGGTGTATAGGGAAACTTGGAAAAGATTTTATCGAGATGAATAGAGCACATATTATGATATAGGTCGCTTCTTTAAGAAGTGTAGGATCTGAAATTGAAAAATATCTGCTAATATCTGTTAGTATTGATAATATCTATTGTGTCTAACTAGTGTCTAATATCTCTTAGTATAAATATTAGGATATAATATCTATAAATATAGATATTAGTGTAGATTAAAATAGAAATTTTGAAATAGAGTTCTCTTCTGCCTAGTCCTTAATGAGAGATATTCTGATCGTCAAGTGAAAGGTTAAATATCTTCATTCGGCTAGGGTCAATTCTTATTTATTATGGACTTAGTGCTTCGATTTTTTATTGAGTAAGGTCAGTTGTTAGTAAAAAAATTTATTTTAATCCGCTTCGAACAGTTAGTATATTGTTTCCGAGGAAAAAATATTGCTCAAAGTGAAGTTTATATCCTATTTCATTATTCCAATTTTTTAAATTTATATTAAAGTTGTTAAATAGACTAAATATTAATTGTGACCTCTCAATACACTCTTAGAGATAGATATCTTCCAAGTTCACAGTAAAATGAACGTACGAGCATTGTACTTTTGCTTTCAATTAAATAGATAAAAGGCAAAAATTCAATGTTTGGATTCGTTGTTCTTAAATTATTTACCAAATGAAGTGTGAAGTAAAGTGAATTGCTCTTCAGAGAACTGAACAGAAAAAAAGTTGTAGAATTGCACTTCTACGTGTCTGGCATGTGTAATAATTATTCAATTAAATTCGAATAAATATACCCCCGAGTTACGTACACGGTACATTCAGAATAATAAAAGCAATTCTATTAGCTCCTTAACATATTGGCATGCATGCAACGGTTGGTACCGCTAAACATCTTCCCATTAACTATTTTCCTGCTCCGTCCAGTAGTTGCATTCCACTTGACTGTGTTACAATTTGTGTTCTGCATCCTTGGAATTTTGTATTGTTGTGTACGAGTATTTGTTTTTGATACTTCGTTTGGTGCCTCAAGAGAACATTGATTGTAACTGTTGGACGATTGGGGTGTTCTGGTCCTTTAGGAAAGTCCAGTGATGTGTAACAGTTCAATGTGTTTTATTTCTTTATTTGCTCAGCACTAAGCTCTACGAAAGATTTAAAATTTCTGCACAAATGAATTGAGATTTTTAGTAAAGTCTATGAATATACGCTATATATGTAATTTTTAATTATTTACAAAATTATAATTGTAAAATATCAATCAAAGCTTTATTAATAAATTGGATATATAAGAACTTTATTAACTTATTCTTCTCTCATACAGAATTTAAAAATGGGACATTTAGGTTAGATGTCTTAAAAAGGACCGCTATTAGGAATTTCTGAGCGAGGTGTATTGTCGTCTTTATTCGAAAAGAAGATTGCATTTTGTTCGTTTTGGTTTATTTATCGCATAGAAAATTTACTCAGGTGTCAGTTTTCCTTTTCACTGATAATTGTTTTTCCTATTAATATAATATTTGTTACAAACTCTGTCGCTATTAGGGAATCAGAAGCGAAAGATATTTTGATCTTCACTCAAAAGTATGAGTGTTGGGTTAGGATTATTTGTCGCACAGAGTAGAAAATCTACTCAGATGTCAGTAGTCCCTATCACTGATGACTTTTTCCTTATTAAAATAATATCCTTTACCAATTCTGTCGTTATAGGAATTCCTCAGCAAAGGATATTTTGATCATCACTCAAAATTATGGATATATTCTGTTGGGTTAGGATTATTTGTCGCACAGAGTAGAAAATCTACTTAGGTGTCAATGGTCCCTTTCACTGGTGGCTGCTTTTCCTATTAATATAATATTCTTCACAAACTCTGTCGCTATAAGAAATTTCTCAGTTTTCTGTTCTGTTAGGTTAGGATTATTTTTCACAAAGAAGATTTATTCAAGTGTCAGTGCTCCCTTTCACTATGACTTTTTTCCCTATTAATACAATATACTTTTTTAGCGAAGTATATTCTGGTTTTTTTGTGGAAGGAAGAGTGCGTACTGTTTAGTTACGGTTCTCAGTTATTTCAAAGAAGATTTACTCTGATGTCAATAATCCATTTCCCTAACATCTGTTTTCCATACTATTATAATGTCCTTATCATATAATTGAATTTTTAATACCGTTATTATGATTATTTTCTGGATTGGTATTACTCTTTATAAGAGTATATAGAGCTTAATACTAAATTTCATTATCTTACTAATATTATTTTCCAAATCGGTTGCATATTTCTTTGTTTTTACCATCTGCTATATTTAAGAATTACTAATAAAGCCTTTATATTGCAATTTATATACATCAATTTGTTTATGGAAGTAGTCGGGCAATCGGAAATCCTATCGAAAACGTTGGTGTTAAAACGATTACAAGTGCAATTCTCGCCTTATAATCTCTAAGTGTTTGTCATTTATGAATGCTTGCAAAAGTGACTGCGGCGCTCTTTCAAGTATTCTTCTTCTTCTCTAGTGTTAAGTGTGTATTGAA